ATTCCTTTGGGTATATACCCAGTAATGGGATTGCTGGGTCAAATGGTATTTCTGGTTCTAGATCCTTCAGGCATTGTCACACTGTCTTCCACAATGTTTTAAGTAATTTGCATTCCCAACAGTGTAAAAGCATTCCTATTTCTCCACAGCCTCACCAGCATCTATTGTTTCTTGACTTTTTAATAATCACCATTCTGACTGGCATGAGATGGTATCACATTGTGGTTTTGATTTGCATTTCTCTAATGATCAGTGATGTTGAGCTTTTATTAATATTTTTTTTTTGCCACATAAATGTCTTCTTTTAAGAAGTGTCTGTTCATATCCTTTGCCCACTAGAAGTTTATTTTCTTCATTGAATTTTTTTTCAAAGAATGAATGTTTGGATTTATCAGTTTTCTTTGCTATTTGCATATTTTCTGTTGTACTGATTTCCTTTTTTATGTTTATTATTTCCTTTCTTCTATTTACTTGAAGTTTATTTTGCTGTTGTTTTCCAGTTTCATAAGGTAGAAGCTTAGGGCATTGATTTTTAAACTTTTTTTCTTCTAATGTAAGCATTAAAGTTGTTAATTTCTGTCTAAGTACTTCTTTAACTGTATCCACATCTATCTATCTATCTATCTATCTATCTATCTATCTATCTATCTATCTATCTATATCTATCCAATCTATTTTGTTCAACGTATTTTCTAATTTCGCAAAATATTTTCTGACCTTATCCATAGGTTATTTTAAAGTTCGTTGTTTAATTTTCAAATATTTGTGGATTTTGTAGATTTTTTTCTTCTTGTTTTTTAATGTAGTTCCGTTGTGGTCTGGTCAGAGAACATACTCTGTATAGGGTTTGAATATCTTTAAATTTATTGAAACGTATTTTATGGCCAATTATGTGCCCTCTGTGTCCTCTAAGATAAATGTTCTATTTTCACTTACAAGGAGTGTGTGTTTCATAGTTGGCTGTCTGGAGTATTCCATAAATATCAATTAAGTTTGATTGTTTGATGGTGTTGTTCAAGACCTCCATATACTTTCTAACTTTTGTGCCCTTTTGTTCTATCAACTACTGAGAGAGGAGTATTAAAAATCTCAGACTATACTTTTGTATTTGTGTGTTTTTTCTTTCAGTTCTGTCAGTTTTTTCTTTGTGTATTTTCAAACTTTATTATTAGGTGCACATACATTGACTGTTGTAAATATTCTTGATCAATTGACCCTTTTTTATGATGAAATATTTCCCTTTAATCTGGAAATATTTCTTATCATGAAGTCTACTTTGTCTGATATCAAAGTAGCCACTCTAGCTTTATAATTAATATTTGCCTGGTATGTCTTCTTCTGTTCTTTAACTTTTACCTATATGTATCTTTGTATTAAAAAACTAAGCCTCGTAGAAAACAAATAGTTGGATGTTGCTTTTCTACCAGGTGTAATAGTATCTCTTAATAGATGATTTTGGTCCTATTATACTTTTCTACCAAGTATAATGGTATCTCTTAATAGATGATTTTGGTCCATTTTTACCTAATACAATTCTTAATGTGGCTGTGTTAAATCAGTTAACTATTGACTTATTGGTTTCAGTTTTTCTTTCGTTTTGTTTTCCTTTCTCTCTCCCTTCTTTTGAATTAAAAAATTTATTATTTCATTTTATTTTCACTATTGTCTTATTAGCTATAACTTTTTAAATAGTTTGTTCTAGGGTTGATATAATACATCTTTTATTAATTTTTTTCTTCTATAATGTAGAATCTGCCTTTAAATCTGCCTAGTGGGCTTTTTGTTTTAGATATTGGGATGTTTTTTAGCTTTAGATGGCTGATTTGTTTCTTTTTCTGTTTTTTGTTTTTGTTTTTGTTTTTGTTTTTGTTCTTTGAGATGGAGTTTCACTCTTGTTGCCCAAGTCGGAGTGCAATGGTGTGATCTTGGCTCACTGCAACCTCTGCCTCCCAGGTGCAAGCGATTCTTCTGCCTCAGTCTCCCAAGTAGCTGGAATTAATAGGTGCCTGCCACCACGCCTGGCTATTTTTTTCTATTTTTAGTAGAGACAGAGTTTTACTATATTGGCCAGGCTGGTCTTGAACGCCTGACCTCTCAGGTGATCCACCTGCCTTGGCCTCCCAAAGTTCTGGGATTACAGGCATGACCCACTGTGCCTGGCCTGTTTCTTTTAATGATTTCCATTTACTTACTTATTATGTTCGTGTTTTCCCTTAATTGCTTGAACAAATCTATAATCGTTGTTTTAACGCCCTTGTTTGCTAATTCCATCTTTGTCATTTCTAGATCTGCTTCTATTGTCTGATTTTCCCTTTCATTATGGGTTACATTTTTTGTTTATGGCATGTCTAATAATTTTGACTGGATTCTGGCTATTGCGAATATTCCATTGTTAGCCTAAACTTTCTTGTGTTTCTTTACAAATTATTGATTTTTGCTCTTGCAATAGATTAAATTAATTTCAGATCAGCTTTATCCCTTTGAGGCTTTTTTAGAAAGAGTCTAGAGTATCTTTTGCTCTAGGACTGGTTTAGCCCTACTAGTAAGACATACTCTTTCCAGGATTTCACCTGAATGCAGCAAGTACTCAATGAGGTCTTCCCATTCTGGCTGAGCTGAACTCAAATATCTCCCAGTCCTGTGCAAGCTCTGGTAGTTGCTCAGTTTATAGTTCCCCGTAATTTATCTTTCCTTAATCATTATTATTTCCCGGGGTTTATGGAGTTTCACCTTAAACATGTGCATCTTATTATTTAGCCAAAGATTCAAGAGGATCCTCTGCAGATTTCTGGAACTTATTCTGTGTTGCTCTTTCATTCTGCTACTGTGTCTCACAAGTTCCATCCAGATGCCTCAGGCTTCCTGAACTCCAGTCTCTGACTTTTTGAGTCAATGAGACTGCCATACTCTGAATTCCCCTTTCCTGCAACTGGTCCAGAAAATGCATTGAAATAAAAGGCTAGGGCTATGGTAGGGCTCACCTCACTTGTTTGTCTTCTCTCTGAGATCTCATGCCTGAAATGCCTGTTGTTCAATAACTGAAAATAACTATTTCAGATATTAATATTTTTGTTTAATTTTCTAGTTGCTGACACTTGGTGGACTAGATGTGCACTAGTTACTTCGTTCTGACCATAAACAGTCTTATTAAAATTTAATTTTATGCTGTTTTTCATGAACACTCCTTTCCAGTCAATTTTCAGCTGATTCCTGTATACAATTTGATGTTCTTCAGTGTATTTAGACCTTTCAGGCCTTCCTCAAATGCATTTTCCCCTTCTTTCTATGCCTCACTCCATACAAAAGCTCTTTCAAACTCACCTTTTCCAGAAAACACCCTATGATTAATCCATTCACCCTCTTTATTCATCTGCCCTTTGTTGTAATTTGTACTTCGTTTCTACTACATTAAATTGCACTTCTGGCCATGTAGTTTTGTTAAGTTTTTGGCAGTTATTTTATGTGTGACTGTTTTGCTGATGATTATAAGCAGAAGCTTATAAATAGAAAAAGCCTGTCTTTCATTTATTCCCTTTGTTGCAAACCCACCTAATTCAACTGGCTGTTCCCAAGGTAAATATTGGTGACCCTCTATAGTTTGGTGGAGAGGCATTGTATTACGAAACAAACGAAGCTAAATAGCAGAGCTCTCATGTGATGGACCACTTCCAAGGCCCTGGGAGGGTCCCCAGCCATCTGTTTACATGGTAGATGGTTTTATAAATTTTGCCAAGGACAGATTTGAACTACAATGGAATAAGGCACTCTCTCTTTCCATTATGAATTTCTTTCAGCCAGTCTCCCCTTTCAGGCGGTGGGGAGTGACCGTAAGCATTTTGGGGATCTAGTTAAGGAAAGTTGAGTTGGTGATACATTTAGCTGCGGTTTAGTAGGAGGTATTTATGTGGTTTGCAGACATTTCCATGTATAGTTAACTTATTCCTAGCTGTCCTGTGCAGGAATATTCTTACCACCCACGGGGCAAACTTACCGAGTGATATAACAGGAAGATACGGAACCAGAGCACCTATGAGCATGAACCTATGCTATGGCACCCAGCACTGGATCCTTACAGGGAGAGGGGAAGAAACAAGGTTTTAATTGTGCAAAGCCAGAAACTAATCTCTGGAAGTGTCTTTCCATCAAGACATAAACAATTCCTAGTGGAGGATTCTGTTCTCATCCATTTCTAGTAAAGGGCATTCTGTCAGGAGTGTGCTTTATATGCAGTGTATACAATTATAAACACTCCATGATGTTTTCTTTTGTGAAGATATTATGCAAAACTAAATTCATCAGAATTTTTCTGTTTATAGTGCACAACCTTGTGGAAGAACTACAAAGAGTGAACTTGTCTATTGAAGTTGCATGTTTTATGAATCTTAAAAATTAACATGGAAAAAATTTTGATCAACCAAGTTAGAGGAAGCACTGAATTATTTTATTCTCTCTATAGAAAGTATTACCACATGGTGGTGACATGAAGAGGCCATCAAGGAGGACGCAGCAAAAAAGTAAGAAAATGTATTACACAGCCATATCAACCATTAATTAATAGAAATATTATGTTATTTGGGGGATTTTTGTGGTATTTGTAAACTTTTCAATATTTGAAGTCATTGGCCGGGCACAGTGGCTCACGCCTGTAATCCCAGCATGTTGGGAGGGCACAGCAGGTGAATCACCTGAGGTCAGGAGTTCAAGATCAGCCGCCAACATGGTGAAACCCCGTCTCTACTAAAAATACAAAAATTATCCAGGCATGGTGGTGCAAGCCTGTAATTCCAGCTACTCGGGAGGCTAAGGCAGGCGAATTGCTTGAACCCTGGAGGCAGAGGTTGCAGTGAGCTGAGATCGCGCCACTGCAGTCCAGCCTGGGAGACAAAGTGAGACTCCATCTCAAAAAGAAAAAAAAAATTGAAGTCTTTTTTTCTCATTCTGTATTCATTTTCATCGCTAATTTTGTATTTATAATTTTTAATACATCTTTTTCAGAGAAGACCCTGAAGGTATGTAAGTCTCAGGCCCCACAAAAGTTGGATCCAACCTTGATGAGGTGAAGATATTGGCTCTTCCTCCTTCTTAACCTTGTTATCGGGTGATATGGTTTGGCTGTGTCCCCACCCAAACCTCATCTTGAATTGCAGCTCCCATAGTTCCTACATATTGTAGGAGGGACCTGGTGGGAGATAATTGAATCATGGGGCGGTTCCCCCATACTGTTCTCGTGGTAGTAAATACGTCTCACAAGATCTGATGATTTTATAAGGGGTTTCCCCTTTCACTTGGCTCTCATTTTCTGTGTTGTCTGCTACTTTGGTAAATATTAACTAACCATCCCTGGAGTACGCATTCCCAATTACAGCAAGTGATCATCCCTTGGGTGCAGATTACATCTAAATAACATACACAAGCAAATCACACTGCCAATGCTGAAGCGTTTCAAAGTAAATTCAGACATAAACATAAACAAAGTAAACAGAGAATATAACGTACGTATCTCTTCTGTTACAGTTGCTTTTTCATTGAGTTCTGTGGAGCTCAGGTTCCTGTGGAGGGTAGCAGAAGGGAAACTTCAATTACAGCATATATGGTCTGATCTGTTCTACATATTAAAGTTCATACTATTTTCTTTGTGATAAATGAAGGGTGTTCTGCTGCATCTGAAACTAGTGCTCTAGCACTAACCACCTGTCTCTATAACACGTACACTCAAAGTTACAATGAAAGCCCAAAGATGTGCTTGAGTTAGCTTATGTCAATGAAAATGTTGCTAGAGACTTGGTGTAGATCTGCTGAGCTGCGTGTGAAAACTACAGTGTAATCTGATTCTCCTCTCCCTCTCTCTTTTCACCACCGTTGTTGTCAATATATATTCCTTCCACATTTTACCCAAGAAAACTTAGTATACTGGGGTCACATTCTCCATAATCAAGTTGCCAAACAAAAAGACTTCTGGAATAAAAGACTTCTCCTAACTTGGGGAAGAGCGCTTAGGGGGGAAGAGATGAGAGATGGTCAGAGCTGGGATGTATTTAATCTTGGTCTGCAGTGGACATTTATTATCTGCCAAGACCCCTTCTTTCTGGCATGGACATCCCCCCAGTGATGAGGCTCTATAAGGGCTTCTCTCGTTTTCCCTTGGACTGTGAGATGACCTAATTCTCCAAAATATTAACCAGGTGCTTTCTTTTTTTTTTTTTTTAAGACGGAGTCTCGCTCTGTTGCCCAGGCTGGAGTGCAGTGGCGCGATCTCGGCTCACTGCAATCTTCGCCTCCTGGGTTCACACCATTCTCCTGCCTTAGCCTCCCGAGTAGCTGGGACTACAGGCGCCCGCCACCTCGCCCAGCTAGTTTTTTGTATTTTTTAGTAGAGACGGGGTTTCACCGTGTTAGCCGGGATGGTCTCGATCTCCTGACCTCGTGATCCGCCCATCTCGGCCTCCCAAAGTGCTGGGATTACAGGTGTGAGCCACCGTGCCTGGCTAACCAGGTGCTTTCTTTCTTTCTTTCTTTTCTTTTCTTTTTTTTTTCTTCAGATGGAGTTTTGCTCTTGTTGCCCAGGCTGGAGTGCAATGGTGCAACCTCAGCTCACTGCAACCTCTGCCTCCTGGGTTCAAGCGATTCTCCTGCCTCAGCCTCCCGAGTAGCTGGGATCACAGGCATGCGCCACCATGCCTGGCTAATTTTGTATTTTTAGTAGAGACGGGGTTTCTCCATGTTGGTCAAGCTGGTCTCGAACTCCCCACCTCAGGTGACCCGCCCACCTCTGCCTCCCAAAATGCTGGGATTACGGGAGTGAGCCACTGCGCTTGGCCTAACCAGGTGCTTTCAAAGGTGTTTTGAACCAAGAAGCAAACCCTGCCCTGTTGGACACAAAGCTGGGAACATGTGAGATGGGAACTGCTGGCATCCCTGCCTCCAGCACTGAGAGGAAAGCCAGCCGGAGAACATAGAGCTGCCTGCAGCAAGCAGGAAAAAAGGGTGAGGAGAGAGTGTCCTGAGAGCCTCCAGCTTCTGGTTCTAGTGGCCACTGATGTCCAACCCTGTTTCTGCCCTTCTTGTTTTGGTTACAGGAGCCCACAAATCCTCTCTATCATTGGTGCTTATTAGAATTGAATTTCTGTCATTTTTTTAAAACCAAGAATGTACAAAACAATGCACTGGCTATGGCAGCAAAATTATAGAGCCTGATATAAGAAAAGAAATAGAAGCCACAAGAAGAATGGAGGAAATCTCCAGTAATTCACAGGAAATAAAATAACCAGGGAGAATAAAACTTTGCAGTCTTGGGTGTCTGCACCCCAGGCGACAGAGGTGGTATTGAAACAAGTGACCTTGAGATCACAGCTCAGGAAAGCCCATGTGACTGTGCTGGTTCTCTGAGCCCAGGGAGGTGGGATGGCAGCAATGGAACAGCATTCCTTTCTCAAAAGACAGACCTGGGAGGTAGTGGAGTGGAGGAGACCATGTGTTAAGATGAGAGCTCCTGCATGAAAATCCACAAACCATGAGTAGAGAGAGTAATGGAGAAGGTAAGGAGAGAGAGGGAAGGGGGACTGTGGCCTGCACACAAGGTTGTGCAGCCAGATGTAAGGCCTGGAAGCCACGCTCCTGAGAATCACAGTGCACATGCTGGGTTGGGGCAGAGAGCCACATGCAGCTCACTGGCAGGCAGAATCAGGGGCTGGAGGCATAGAAAGCCAAGAGCCAGGCAGCAGCAACTGGCTGACCCTGGTAGGCAGTTCCAGGTGTGGGCACGTCTGGGCGCAGGGACTGGAAGCAAAACTGATTGACTCAGGAGTAGACAAATATGGGTTCAAGGTCAATCAAAAAGCAGAAACCAGGTGACACAAGTGAGTCAAATCTAGAAAGAGAGTTGTAAAAGTGGGCAGACACAGGTAGAGGGAGGACCTAGGAACAGAGGCTAGAAACCAGAAGGGGTCTGCTGGGGTGGATGGACGAGCGGCAGGAGCCAACAGACACAAAGATGCGCATAGAATTTCACCAGATGGCTGTCTGCTGCTGAGCTGTGGAGCTGTGGCTTTTCTTCCTGCTTGTCCACAAGCGGGTGACTCTGCCCTCGGGGTTCAAAGGCATGAGCAGGCCTTCTGATGACACATTTGACAACGCTGGCACAGGGGCAAGATTGAGTGGGGATAGCTGGGAATTTCCTTCTCCTAGACCCTGGGTGTCTGATAAATTCTCCTCATATTGACAATTTCGTCTTTCATAGTTTAAAGAAAGAAATGAGAGGGACTGCTACCCTGCACCTAAGCACAGGGGTCATGCTCTGCAGAAGTGGAAGTGACAGGGACCCTGAGAGGAGCCATCTTTTGCAAAGTTGGTGGCATCCGGGGCTCAGGCAGAACCCATTCTGAAAGCAGGGTTCAGACGTGTTCGGAAAAGAGACTCTCAATGAGAAGACAGCTCAAGAGGAAAGGGAGGCTAATTGGAGCTAACTGTATTTTGTTAACAGATGATAGCAAGAAGGCAGAACTCGGGCTGTGTGTGGTGGCTCACTGCTGTAATCCCAGCATTTTGGGAGGCCGAGGCGGGGGGATCACCTTAGGTCAGGAGTTCAAGACCAGCCTGGCCAACACAGCAAAATCCTTTCTCTACTGAAAATACAAAAAAATTAGCTGGGTGTGGTGATGTACGCCTATAGTCCCAGCTACTCAGGAGGCTGAGGCAGGAGAATTGCTTGAACCTGGGAGACGGAGGTTGCAGTGAGCCGAGATCATGCCACTGCACTCCAGCCTGGGCAACAGAGCAAGACTCTGTCTCAAAACAAAACAGGCAGAACTCCTCAAATTGTACTTTACTTCCCAGTTCTCAGTCAAGAAGACCCATCTTCAGACTGGAAAGGGCAGAATTAGTGCTGGTTAGAGGGAACCAAAGCCATATATAATTGCTCTGAGCAGACTTCACATACCCATTAAATACCCCCGCAGAATTTAGCCCTTGCAAAGGGTTCCTCAGATATTTCTGAGATTCCCCCTGGGTGACGGGCTGCGAATGCTTGTTCACCACCCCAAATCATCCCCTGATGCTAATGACACTCAGGAGACGGACCCTCTGCAGGGCATAGCTAGCCAGCTCTGCTGCTGCCACCACCTGGGATGAGGGATGCTGGGTTTCCCTTTGCCTTCCATCCTAAACACAGAACACAGCATTCCCTGAGTCCCCAGAGCACAATCCTCTCTCTAATATACCAGCTGCACACGCGGAGGAATGTTTGCACCCCACCCATACCCCCATCTATGTAACCCCAAGGTCTAAAACAGTTTTTGGTAGACAGTAGGAGCTCAGTAAATCTCTGACTTTTAACAAGCGTTTAATAAACATTCAAAAGTGAAAGAAAGGGTTGAGCAAGGTGGCTCATGCCTGTAATCTCAACACTTTGAGAGAACAAGGGGAGAGGATTGCTCGAGCCTGGGAGTTCGAGACCAGCCTAGGCAACATAGCGAGATGCTATCTCTATTTTACTTTTTAAAAAGTGAAAGAAAGAACAAGGCAGAGAATAACTAACAACAATTAAAAGATGTTGTGAATTTCAGGATCCTCAGACTCAGATTTAGAAATGCCCAGTGATGAAAATGTACCTACCTTAAGCAGTCTGATGGCTTGGCGTGCAGAATATGTCTCTGTGGGCAGAAAAAGCTTCTCTGGGCTGAAAAAAATAGAAAAATGGGTCCCCTCTCCCCACCCACAAGGCAGGCAGATACCTTAGAAGACAGCGATCCCAGTTGGTGGGCAGGTCCTTGTCAGGTAAGGGTTTGGTTAGTAGGTGGTACCTTTGTGTCGAGAAAAAGACATGCCTTTCTCCCAGCAAGGGCAGCCCCCAGCAGGGTGCACAGCTTGGCCGCGCTCTGTTGGACAAAGCTGCACTGTCTTCCTACAGGGCTTCTATCCTGTCCTGTGGCGTGAGCCAGCACAACTGAACGCAGTCTAAGTGCCCTCAAATCAGGTCTACTCTGCCTGGAATCCCAGCCCCACCCCTCCCAAGACTGGGAAAGGGGAAGGGATTCTCAAGCTGCCTCCCTGCACTTATTTCCTACCGAACACCTGCTCCTCCCTGGTGACCAATGATGGGACATCTATTCCCCCAGGAAACCCGGCCCTCACTCCAGGCCCATGATCTCATCCTGTGGCACCCAGTACAACAGTCCCATCAGAACACAATAGTCTCAAGGGCTTTGGGGTCATTATACTTCAATAATGCCACTTGAAGGGCAGAAACTGTCCATTGAACACACTTAGTTCTCTTTCATAGGCTGTCATCTAGGGAGAGGTGAATATTCTGCCTGAATGTCCTTCTGTAGTCCTCTGGGCTGGCCGCTCTTGCAAACAATTGCTCTGGCAAAAAACATTCTCCACTCTGCAAGGATAAGCAAACACTAATTCACTACATTCCTACTGAGTTAAGAAATATTTCACTCCTTCCTGGAAAGCAAGAAAATTATAGAGACTTAGCTCAGGCTTGACCATATTCAAAAACATACACGACCAACACAAAACGTTTATCATCCAAACCTAAAATCATCATCCAGAATAATGATGACTTTATAATTGTTCCAAAGAGCACACTGGGCACTT